GAATGAATGGGGAGGGTTATGTATGACTCATTTCATGAAGGACCCCCATCCTCCTGAATAAGCCTCAGCAACTGTATGGATTTTGGTGGTTTTATTGGAAACTCCTCATTGTTGGTTTAGACTTAGAACCTTCATTTCCCCCAGAAGTGCTCTCTCTATGCACTCAAACAGGTAAGAAATGGTTAAAGAGCCTGCAGGGTGCTAGGCATCTAGTAGGCCTCAGTGCTTTCATTGGTAAGTGGATGCCTGAGTAATCAGTATCTTCGTCCAAGCAATCTATTTCCTCCTTTCTAGCAACCCAGAGCTTGACAATTGGGTGGCAGCAGACTCTTCCCCTCACTCTGAATCATACGTGGCAAATCATTGCACCTCTTTGGATTGTCAGGGCATGCAGGGGGACTGAGAGACAACACGTGTGGGTGTTTGGGACCTGTTCGATAAAGCCGGCAAGGCGTGTCGAGGTGTGGGTGGCGCAGGCTGTTGTGAGCTGGCAGGGGATGCTAGCCTCGTGCCTGCAGCCGTTTCTGCAGCCAGGGACACGAAGGCCTGTGAGGGTGCCGTGGCTCTGCAGATGCTGCTGACAGTGCTTTGAAGGATTGTTTTGGCCAGAGACCCAGTCCCCAGCCTGCCTCCTCTGTGACTCACTCTAGCTGCATATTTTGGTAGCAGGAGGGCTCGATAGGACACGAAAGAAGCACTTCTTAAGAGTGGGAGCTCCTAGGTTCTGGATTAGTACTTGAGAGACACAGTGCTCTTTACAGGTCATAGAGGTCTTTTATTTAAAAAAAAAATTGAGGCGTAATTCACATAGCATAAAATTAGCCATTTTAAAGTGAACAATTCAGTGGGATGTAGTACACGCACCACGTTGTGTGACCACTAGCTCTTCGTTCCAAAACATTTCCATCACTCCAAGATGAAGCCCCCTGCCCATTAAGCAGTCATTCCCTCCTCTCCTCTCCCCCCAGTCCCTGGCAACCGTTAATCTGCTTTCTGTCTCTATGGATTTACCTTTTCTGGACATTTCATGTGAATGGAATCATGCAATATTTGACCTTTCGTGTTTGGCTTCTTTCACTTAGCATATTGTTTTCCAGGTTCATCCACATTGCAGCATGTATCAGTATGTCCTCTAGTCTTAACAATCATCCCAAATCCCCAAAGAGGAGCCCCCCTGAAAAGAGGGGGTCTTCCTAGCCTCTGTCATTCAGTCCCACCTCCTGCCAAGAGGCAGGTGAATTGACTAGATTCATTGTTCCCCAATAAGCTGCATTAGAAACACCTGGAATGTGTCTTAAAAATACTGATTCCTGGGCTGCAGGCAGAGGGCTTCTGAACTAGCAGGTGTAGAGTGGGGCCTCTCAGGTGATTCAGCCAGGCATGGGGACCCCCCAGGACCAGGGTGTGTCTGGGGGTTATCTTGACGCTTAACGATCTGCCTGTGAGCCTAGCGGCCGCTGTGTGCTGTGTACGAAACACTTTCTGTGTTCCGAGGTTTCTGTGGTGTGGGATTTTTCTGTTTGCCTTCTGGGCGGAGGCACTCACCCCCTCCTTGCTGCTTTAACAGCTCCAATAATTGTGTTTCATTTATCAAGCTCCAGCTATGCCCCATGAGCTAGAGATGGGAGAGGGAAGGTTGTTTACGCCCTGGGGCTGTGGTTATAAATGACTGTACGTCAAGGTTGTGTTCCTGGGAAAGCTGCCCTCCCATCTCCTCCCAGGCCAGCGTCTTCGGGGTCTGTTTGTGGGGCGGCATAGGCAAGGCTGATAAGAGTGATCTCGAAGCTTACAGCTGCCCCAGCGGGCTGGGGATGGGGAAGGCTTGGGGAGGAGGAGGCTGGGGGAAATCCCTGGGGATGGAAAAGGAACCAAACAAACCAGAAGCCACTGATTAACTAGGGGATCTAGCCGCAAGGACCTGCAGGTTCTTGATTGCTGGGGTCTGCCCTGGGCTGCTGGTGTCTTGGCCACATTCCATGGAGAGCTAGCAGGAGAAGGCTGCTCTGGCTCCTTCCTCTCTTTCCTTTGGGGTTGGGGAGGAGGAAGGTGCGGTCAGAGAATAGGATGCCTGCCTGTCCTGCTGTTAATAAAGCTTATGTCCTGCCAGCCTGCCTGCTGGCTCTCCTGTCTCCTGGGTGCATCATTTCTGTGACTGATTCTGGTCTTGTGCTTTGGGGGGATGGGTACCTGGGCTGCCTTGGGGATCAGCCATGACTCACCAGGGAGTTATTCTCATGACCAGGATGTGTCTGACATCTCGCCAAGCAGAGGAGCCGAACCGTTGGTGTGAGTGCCTGGTGGCCCTCGTACAAGCCATTTCTAGCCAGGGATTTTTTCCCCTCCACTGGGCTGCCCTTTTACAGTCTGCTCTTAGGAATAAAAGGGACATCTAATGAAAAAGCCTTTAAAAAACAAACAAACGAAATCCCAGGTGTTTCACTAAGCTTGCTTTCTAGAGGTTTTCTCTGTAAAAAAAAAAAAAAAAAGCCCTTGGATGTTTTGAGGCTTGTCCTTTGTGTTCTTCTGACCCCTCACCTGTCTAGGGATTGGTGACAGGGTCTCGTAGATCTCACGTTTTGTGAGTAGATGGACTTCGGCAAGTTGTTTTCAGAGCTCTTTTCCACGCCAGTCACTGAAAGCGTGGTAACCTACTCAAAGCATTACCTGATTGTGACCTGCCAGAAGGAATGTTTTGATTTCATCTTTGAGGATGCCCAAGTGGAACGTGGGAGAACTTTCTCCTCCCAGACCCCAGGTGAACAGTGGATGGTTTTTCTAGGTTTCTAATCCTTTACTGGATTAACATTTGCATGGTTCTCTAACTCCCTCTGGTTCCAAGGGTGAGAATGTTTTGGGAGGGGAGAACACCTTCGGCTGGAATTCCCAGGGCACCTGTGCTGATGGGCTTCTGATCCATAGATGCTCCCAGGTTCTTCCCAGAGGCTTGGGCCGGAAGGAGAGAGGAGGGAAAGGGAACGCTTCAGTGACCAGTAGAGACTCCATTAGCTGCTTTCTCTTTGTAGCACCTTAGGGTAAATAATTTATTTACTTCTATTTTTTATTTGCACTTCTCTCTTGATGCCTGCCTGGACTTATCTATCTGAGAGTGAGAAGGGACATTTTGGAATGATGTATCTTCCTAAGGTCCTTTAACGTAAAGAGGTCTCATTTCAAAGGTTTTTCAAAAGAGTTTGGATACTGCGTCAGATTAGGTGCAGGTGCTTAAAACCCCAGGCGAAGCCGTTAAGGATTAGTTCCTTTGTCTTTCTGTCTGCCAAGTGTGTGGCACTGGTGTTTCTCTTCTCCCTGTGACATCTGAGAGCACCTCAGGGAGTGGGTGGGGAGAGTCGGGCGTGCCTGAGGCGAGGTGGGGGGGCGAAAGGAGATGGAGCTGTGGGTTTTCTGCTGCAGAGCCTTGATGAGAAGACAGCTGGAGGGCAGGTCTTCAGAGGCTTGAATTGTCATCAGCCTGGGTTGATGCTGGGTGGGCTGGGTGGACTGAGCAGGTTGGAGTCTGGAAGCTCAGTTCCCTTCTGTGTGTGCCTGAGACGGCTGAGGTTGAGAGGCTGGTGGAACGGGCTTCTCTCAGACACTGCTCAGCGGGAGGGACGGCACATGCTCCTGATCTGGGGTCTCTGTCCTGCTTCTGAATGTTGCACCAGCCCTCAGACTTTTTGTCATTGTTGTCATCACTGTGCTTTCCACACAGAGTGGGGAAGTGTGTGGCTCAGGTGTTCTGAAATGCCGGTCCTTGAACTGGGGTCCGTCGGGGCACGGTGAAATAAGAAAAAAGTAATGTAGTTTTCCATAAAGCAAAAGAACCGTTCTTTATTCTGAGATCATGTTCTTCCTCAGTTTTAGGTGTTAAAATGTCTTTTAAAAGTGACGGTGACTCTAGATGGTGGTCACATCGCTGAGTAGGGCCAGCTGTATAACAGACGGATCCCAAAAGGGTAGTGGTGCAAAGGTATCGCTGGATTATGAGAAGTTTAAGATGAGAGTTCCTGATGAGTGAAGGGCTTTTTCCTCAGGGGTGCAGGCTCCTTCTGTCTCACAGCTCTGCCCTCCTCTGGGACTTTGGAGTCCTCTCTGGATGTGACCTGCATGTGGGAAAGAAAACAGGGCAGCGAGGGGGTTAGGGCTCGTGGTGGCTTTGATGACCTTCTCTCGTGTTCCACTGGCTGGAACTCAGTCCCAGGGCCGCACCTCACTGCCTCACAGCCGGGTCTGTGATATCCCTTGGAGGCAGAGGAAACAGATTTAGAGGAAAGCTAGTCAGGCCCTGACACAGTGCCTGTTTTCGTTAATGTCCTTCCCTGGCAAAATAGAAGTTGCCAACCAATCCTCTTTTGGCCTTCCTAATTTATTTTTATTTTGCTGGTTTACAAAACCTAAAAGTCTGAGAGCTACCGTTAACAATAATCCAATCATTTCTGTTGACTTCTGGAGAATAATTCCTTCCTTGGGGCACTTCAAAAAAATTTTTAAAAAAAGTCACAATGATACCTTCTTTTCTCCTATCTCATTACAGGCTAGAAGTGAATAATGGTACCTCCAGGCCAGAGAAAATGCCAGTTTGAACAGAAGTTTGACTGGCCTGTTAATTTTTTTTCGGTGAGGGTGGTGCTTCAATATTTTGGTTTATAATCTTACCAGTGCATGTCACATATGGAGTAGGGATCGGAGTAACTAGAGATTGATATCACAAAGGATGAAAATAAGCAAAGGAATTGGTAAAAATATCATGCCAGTGAGAGCCCGAGAAGATTTTTTTGCAATCCGGTGACATCCGAAATAGTAGGGGACTCATGTTTCTTCTTGGGAAAGTTGAGTCTGATGGAATATGCATGGGGGATGTGGGTATAGGCCATCCTGGCCCCAAAGCTTTAGATGTGAGAATCTGAGTCCTTTCTGATTGACAGAGGAGGAAGAAGTCTTGATTTAGAATGTTTGTGGCTTTCCCTTGTCATGGTCCTCATTCCTGTGTTGATCTCTTTCAGGTCAGTCTGAATGATTCCCACAATCAGATGGTGGTGCACTGGGCCGGAGAAAAAAGCAATGTGATCGTGGCCTTAGCCCGAGACAGCCTGGCGCTGGCGAGGCCCAAGAGCAGTGACGTAAGTATTCGTGTGGCTCTGGGCACGCCTTGGTGCCGTCAACATGCCCTTTTCCGATGTGCTGGGATTATCATGCCAGAAAAAATAATGGGTAATTGGAGAATGAATGGGATGAATTACAAGAGAGGGAAGAGAATCTAGAATATCATATACCCCTTGTTTGCTGAACATAGGGTGGTGTAGTTGTATTGCAGGCAGGTCCAGGCAATGTGTGATTATCTTTGTGCAGTGATGGGGTAGATTGTTGTACCTGCTCAAGAAAATGCCAGAAGTGTGTTCCTGAGCAGAGCTGCCTTCTTGCCTTGGAGCCAGATGGGATCGAATTGGTCTTTCCCATGTGCTGATTTCCCCTAGCCGGTTACAGCTGGGTGAGCTGTTGAAACTGATGGGCTATTTACGATGTTTGATAGGTTAGGTGCTTTGAAGACATGAGACCAAGAATTACAAACTCGAAGGTCCACGAGGGGCCAGGAAGGTAAAGGACAGGAGTGAAGCTGCCTCCAAGTTTACTGTCCTCTTCACGTCTGTAAAGAGAAATGGTCTCTGCCGTTTTTCCTGACATCTGTGGCCCTCTTGGGGCCACATGTCATTTCCCCACTTTTGATAGAGATGCACGTTCAAGAAACATTCATCTGTATCTTAATTTGAACATGGTGACTGACACTTGGTCTCTGTGTTGGAGAGGAGCGAGGAAGGGGAGGGGACTTTGGCGAATTGGAGAAGAAATACTTCTACCTGGGCTGTTGCTAATCAGTTCTAAGCTCTGGTTGCCGTGCAGGATCCAGGGTCCAGTGTTGTCAGACCTTCTGATTTTTCAAGAGAATCCCAGAGGTCTGGATTTTTATGTGAAAACTGCTGAGTCTTACAAGTTGGCAGCCAGTGTATAGTTTTTACAGACACCAAGTGGGCCAAGTAAAACATCTGCGAGGCGGCGCTGGCCCTTGGGTCCCAAGTCTGCAGCCTGTGCTCCTCCAGAGCCCCGCTTGTGGGACAGTGGTTGCCTTGAATCGGGGCCTGACACCATGACAGGGTGAGGCTGTGGATGGAATAACACGCTCTAGAGCATCCGTCACCCTGTGTTCTGGCCAGAGGTCACCTCCTGATGGATCGGCCAGCACTTGCACATCAGCCTTAGGGAGGCACTTGTAGTTCTTGAGTGCAGATTTGGTCTCCCTGAGGTCCCTCTCTGGGTATCCACTGTGTGGTTGGGTGTGTTCTCAGGTAGGTGATTGCAGGGAGCCCCGGGGGCTGTTTTCCAGTGAGCTGAATCGAGGCAGCCACAGACAGGGAGGGCAGAAGAAGGGCTGGCTACAGTGATGCACAAGCCTTGCCAGGCTAGGCTCTGAGCCGTGGCCTATGGAAAACCACTGCCGCTGACGGCCAGTCTGGGTGTAGTGCTCTGGAACAGGGCTGGACTTGTTTGGGCCAATGACTTTGGCCCATTTATAAATGCGATTAGGTTTTGCAGGCTCCAGCTGTGGACGCAGACAGCCACGTACGAATGCCTGTTGGCTCTGCGAGACTCTCCGTATGCACCTGTGTGTGGGTTCTGACAGGGCCCTGCCCGTAGGTATCCCTTTTGGGCACAGGAGACAACTCTATGCTGTACTGTGTTGAGAAATCCTCCTTAGAGTTTTTATCCGCTTAAAAAATTCTTTGCCCAGGTATTTTTTGTGAGACAGGTAAAAGACCTTAACCATTGTTTTATAGTTTTGCTGGAGGAACAGGAGCCTAGAAGCGTAAAGGGACTTGCATGAGGTCACTGAGCACGTCAGTGGGAGAGTCGGGGCTAATGAGAATGAAGACCCAGTCTTGTGCTCAGTGTGTGAGGATGTGGTATTACCAGGATGACCACTGGCCTGGGTTTTAGTGCTGAAAGCTCTAAATCCTGGGATGACGCCCCCCCCGCCCCCCACTTTAGTCCTGGGTAAACCAGGACGGTTGGTCACCCTGAGTATTCCCAGTCTGTCCACACTGAGCTCTGCTCCGCGTCTGCGTATTTAGGTGTGTCTTAGTAAGAGCCCATTGAACTTTTGAAGTGATGAAGTATTCTGGAATGAAATAGGAGATAAGATTAAATGGAATGGAAACTTAATGCCCAGAGTTAATAAATTGGGATGGCAGAAATGTCCTCCATCTGTATACAAACTGCATTAAAGGATTGGCAGATGAAACTGAGATGTTCTGATGTGAAAAATTAATGCAAAAATAAATTATGACTCAGAGGCAGGAGTTGGTGGTGCTGGAGTAATAACAGTCCACATTTTCTTTAAAGAGGACTGAGAGCGTAGACTGCTAAGGCCCTGTCAGCAGTCCAGAAGGGAAAGAACCTAAATAAATGCAGAGCTCTGTGAGTGTCAGAGAATGGCCAAGGTCATGCATACTCAGTGAACAAAAAGGGGTGGATTGGGAAGCTGGAATCCAGAAAGGTTCGCTTTTAAATAGGAAAAAAGAAAAAGAATTGTCATCACCCAATGAACTGGGAGGCAGTGATAAGTCCCTGGAAAGAAAACAATAGATGTTGTTTATCTTGACCCCTCCCAGCTCTTTGTTTCTGCTCTCTCATGATGTATTGTACAAAGTGCCAGGTTTATAAAGTACTCAGGTGAATGTAACTGGCTGAAGAGCTATCCAGGCGTAATGTCCACCAGAGGGTTGGAATCAACCAGGGATGATAACATGAGTGACAGGACTCACTGCTTTTGTCCCCACAGTGGTGTGACGTGATTGGTGCCCCTGGGGCTTGACCAGGGAGCAGGGTCAGTACTTGCTAACAGATACCTGGCTGAGCACAGGTTCTGAAATCAGAATGCCTGGGTGGGAATCCTGGCCCTGCCCTTCATTCATTAGCAATGTGACCCTGGGCCAAGTTATTTACTTTTTCTTGGTCTTCTCACCTATCAGTTGAGATTTTATTTGTAAAATCGTGCTACTCAAAGTTTGGTCTGTGGATCAGCCCTGTGGGTATTTTCTGGGAGCTGGTTGGAAATGCAGATTCTCAGGTCCTGCCCCAGACTTCTCGAATCGGAACCTGCATTTGGCCAGTGTCTTGCTGGGGGATCTGTCGGCGTACTGAAGTTTGAGAAGCACTGTTGTGAAGTACTCAGGACAGTGCCAGATCTGGAGATGTTTTCTGTACCCTTTAGCCCTCTTCCTCCCCTTCTCACTGTTACTATATGGTTTTCAAGTTCAAGGGAGAGAAAGTAAAACCATTCACTTTGAAGGACCATCTTTATAGGTAAGAAAGGATCTAACTAGCAACTTTGAGCAGTTTGGTAACTCCTCCCCTGTTGTGTTTTGTTCTTTAGGGAGTAATGTCACATTGAGGTCAGAGAGGACTAATTAGTGCAGAAACCTGTGTCTGGATGAGAAACAAATTATAGAAGCACAAGATGAGTGAGTCCAGGTGTTTTCCCAAATTCCCCTGGGATTGTAGTGGACAGTGTGTCAGCAGCATAGTGTTGTCTTAAAAGACGGCCTGAACCAGAATGTACAAATGGGAATGCCTTGTGGAGACCACAAAGCCATCAGCCTGCCCGATGTTAATTATCTGCATGCAGGTAGAGGCCTTTTCTGGGCTGTTCGGTGTGGAGGAAAGTGGATAACTGTGCACCAACCCTGAGCGTGGTCTTTGCCCTGTGGAGCTTATAGTCTGCATTAATCAAATAGAAAGGGAAATTATGGGGATAGGATGAAAATATTGTGCTGGAGTGTTTCAGCCTGGAGAAGGGAAGGGAGGTTGATGAGCAATTTCTGATGGCCTTCAGGCATAGGATGGACCCTCGCATACTTCCTTTTAACCTCTAGTAAGTATAACACCCAAAGCGATGGGTTTTGTTTGCAGGTGAGAATTAAGGAAGAGATTTCTGGTAGTGTAGGTGGTTGAACCTCCAAGCGCCCAATGTCAGAGTTGTGGCTGAGAATCTGGGAAAGGCCCTGTACTTTGGTAAAGTCGGTCTTTTCTCCCTGCTAGCCGGCGTCCCTTCTAGCGCTTGGCCTGTAGATTTGGCGTATGGTCTTTCTTTTTAACAGAGAAATGTAAGTATGGAGAAGAGAACATTCTCCTAGAAGGTAACTTGGGGGAGTCGAAAGACAACTGGACTTGAAATTGGAAGAAACTGTCATAGTTTTGTCATTTAGTAGTATTAATAGGATGACCTGGGGCTAGTCATTTACTTCCCTAAATCTTAGTTTTTTACTTTTTAAATGGAAATAATGATTTTCTTAGTCATTTGCTGATTCATTCAATTCACTCTTTTTAATTAATTTATTTAACACAACCCTTTATTCTTTGGTTTATGATGATACTCATTCCAGAAATCTCTGTTGAATCCCTGCTATGTTGCAGGCACACCGAGGGAGGCAAAGGCGAGACTGACTCAGAGGGGTTTTAAAGATGAAGAGAGATGATGCTCATAGAGGAGTGTCGCGTACTGAAAAACGCGACCCTTATGTAAACCATCACTTTGTGTCTCTGGAGAAGTAAATCATAGTGGCCTATCGAATTACGGGAGGTTGGAGCTGCAAGGGGCCTTAGCTCCCTTTTTGGGAAGTCACTAATTTGCTGCGTGTGACTTCTGAACCTAACCAAGATGCTAATGTCCATTCTTGGCCAGCAGAATGGAAGTGAGAAGGTTATGCTTCGTCTTTTCTGCCCACTCAGATTATCTGCGAACTCTCGACCTGCAGAAATTCTGCAGCTGCTTTTGTGGCAGCCCCGTACTGTGCGTTTGGTAGTCAGGAACACATACTGTGTGCTCTAATAGTTTCTTCCACTGTGACCCAGATAAAGGCGGAGGCTCTGCCTTGCCTTCTTCCAACCTTGACATCTGATAAGTATCAGGACCCGTGTGTGCTCTCCGTTCCCTTTGTACACACTCGTGTTTACATAGGGCATTGTTTGCAAACACTTACATGTGACATGCCCATTGTGTCTAAAGTCCATGTCTTTAATCTATTAGTCTTTGTATGTCTGATGCCTAGCACAGTGCCTGGCTCCTGTAAAATCCTCAAAACATGTCTGCTGTTGACTAAGGGGGCGAGGATGGTAACACTTCCTGGGATTAGTCTTGTAGTTTCTGTTCTTCTTGAGATTCACCTGCCATTTTTCTTTAATGCTTACCCCAATTCCCTTCACATAAGTCCCTTAAAACATAAGTTGTTATGTTCATGCATCAGGCTTGTTTTTAACTCACTAATTAGATTAATTATATTTCATATCTCGCAGGTAGTAACGTCTAGGTACAAAATATCTGACAACTTTCATTCCAGCATTTGTTGCCTGTGATAATGGCTTTGAGATCACTGGCTTTGGAGGCAGGCAGCCTGGGTCAGAATCCCACTCTGCTACTTACTTCCTTTGTTACCCAGGCAGGTGACTCATCTCCTAAGCCCCTGTTGTCTGTAAAAGGATTTTAATAATTGCCCTTGCCACGTAGGCTGTTGTGGAGGTTTACTGAGCTCATCCATTTGAAGAGGATAGTACCATCTCTGCACATAGTGAGCACTCAGCGAATGCCAGGTGTTCTTACGTTTGGTCACTGGTTACTGCGTAGCCAGAGATCAGGACGCGGTAGAGAAGCACACGCTCTTGGCAAATGCGTGGATCCTGCCGCTGTCAGTGGCTCCCGTACGACAGAGTCATACAACACTAGTGCTGGACAAGGGGTTCTGGTCCCAGTATTTTCACCTCCGCATGCTCAGTCACTTAGCTCCCTTTCTTTTCCATCTCTTGGGCTACTTGTGAAGACCCGCGAGGTTTTTCCTTTTTCGAGTATGGAATGCTGTAAGAACAGAACCTCCTGGCAGAGGGAGGAAGAATTAGATTGCATTTTGGGGACAGTTCAGCAGATGGCAAAGGAAATTCCCAACCCCTTTCCCCTTATACAGCCACGTTCTCTCTGCCTCTGGATGTAATTTGTTAAACACTTAGCCGCGGTGATGAGGTTATTATTGTTTCTGTCATTTGTCTCCTGCTCCAGGGACCTGCCTTGGCCTCAGAAAAGAGGCCAGTGTGTTCCAGCAGCAGTGACTGCAGCGCACCCATGCTTTCTGCCCCACACCTGGGGCCAGGCAGAGGTGCCTGCTTCTCCTCTGTGGGTTATCTGGTAACATCTGTAATTTCATGATATCAGGGACCTAATGGAAACCCTGTTCAGGACCCAGAGTGGGGTGTTTGAAAGTGGAGGCAGGGTGAGAGGTCTTTCTGCCTAATTTCTCACCAGCTCTTTTCTGTTTCCTCTCCTCCTCTGCATTGCAGGTGTACGTGTCTTATGACTATGGAAAATCATTCAAGAAGATTTCAGAGAAACTAAACTTTGGCGCAGGAAACAGCAGCGAAGCCGTGATTGCCCAGTTCTACCACAGTCCTGCGGACAACAAGCGGGTGAGGAGGCAGCTGGGCCCCGTGCTGGCCTCGTGGGGTTGTGTTCTGGGGCGATTGCTGCACTAAAGGGGTTGCTGGGAGATGGTGCTCTTTGTCATCTTTGAAGCGGGACAGGTGGCCAGCGACTGTTTTTCTGCTACCTGGCAGTTTGTGACGGAATATGTTCTCAGAGTGGGTCTGTGCATAATCAGGCAGGCTGAGTACTGGTCAGGCAGGATTTCTAGACAAACAATGGCGGGTTAAACCACAGAAAATCAGCCAACTAATAAATCGCCTGACTCATAGGTGGAAAAAATATTTCCCAGGTACACTGGGATTAACACTGCAGTCTGTTCCATGTCTTCTGAGACATCATCAGTGTGCATGTGCATGTGTATGGGTGTGTGTGTACATGTGTGTGCACACATGTGTTGGTGCCACCCCCCCCCCCAACCTACATGGATACAGGAAAGAAAACCAAGGCCATCACCCTGTCTCCTGCTTTGTTTTCCCAGCTGGCTGGCCTGGGGGGCTTTGTTTCTCCCACTAGGCAATTTGATTTGGAGGGGGCACTGACCCTGGGCCCCCAGGGATGTGTGTGAGGGGAGGAGGGCAGGAATGGAGCAGCCTGCTGCAAGGCTTTCCTGCTGATTAGGGAGAGTTTATCTGATGGCTTTTTTCCCCACTGTGTTACCTAGCTCGTTTCCAGCCCAGATGGCTTCCTCCAGGTAAAGACCCTTAGTAGAAAAACTAAGAAAAACTTGCTAATTGCAAAAGCTTTCTGAGGTAAGGGTCGCTGCTGCTTTCTATGCATCCAGAAAGGAACAAGCCAGCAAGGTCTGTCTACATTGTCCTCCTCCCTGGTCCCCAGTGCTGGCTTTTCAGGCTGTTCAGGTCTCTTAGCAGGGGTTGCGTTCAAAATGCTTAGCCACTGGTATGGCTCAGGCACTGACCAATCAGAGCAGATCCTGTCTGGAGGGGGCTGGGTCCTGGAGGACCCTCGCTGGGCCAGGCCTTAACCTTTTAGCTGCGGAGTTGAGGGGAGATCCTGGGGCAGGGTACAGGCTGCTTGGGCTTTAGGAGGAGCCACTCACAGGTTCCAGGGTAGCGGCTGTTTCCCAGCTGGTACAGGGCAGTTGTTTCTTAACAACCGGAATGGTCATTACTGGTACATAATGGTTAAATATCAGCCCTGCCTAATGATCTCAGAGCAGAGTGGCAGTTAGGGGCAAACTTCCCTCTCTTACCTAACTCCAGGGTGACAGAGCAGGTTTTCTCCCTCAGATGAAAAGCAAGGAGAAAGGAATTGGCTATGTAGACAGGCGGCTGGCCCTGTGCCCCTCCCCTCCACCGCACGGGCACTGTGGACAGTCAGGCCTGGTCCTGGACTCCAGGGGTGGGTAGACTTTGCTGCGAGGAGCCCTGCCCAGGTCCCAGCTTGCTGGCTGTGCTGCCTTTCCTGGGGATAGATCTGTATGCCCCCTGCCTCTCCAGAAGCAAATAACACTTGCTCATTTATCGTATGCCTAAAAAGTGCAAAGAGAGTGGATGTTAAGTATTTTTACCACAAAAATAACTAGGTGAGGTCATGCATTTGTTAATTAGCTAGATTTAACCATGACACAATGTGTATGAGCATCAAAGCACTATGTTGTACATGCTACATAGATATGAGGTTAATTTAAAAAACAAATTTGAAAAAAAGTCAATCAACACTTGGATTACTCATTTTATCAGGTTGTACTTACCTGATAAAGTTGTCATTGTTGTTACCGGTTATGGTTGTTATTATATTTACACATTATCTCAGTGCTAACTCTTGCCGAAGTTGTGGCCTTGAAACTGCTTCGTGGTCCTGCTGGAATCTTCTTTCAGCTCCATCTGTCTCCTCCCCACCTCCCGTTGTACACAGATGTCTGCAGGCAAGTTCTGTCTCTTCCTGCTCGTCCTGTGGGTTGTGGCGAGCAGCTGCTAAGACCACAAGTATGAAGAGTCAGAAGACAGGAAGGATGGTGTTTTGGACATGCAGGAGGAGGTTTAGTGCAGGCGGAGGATCAGGGGCTTTGGGGGCATCAGGTCTGGAGAAGGAGCAGAGCAGGGCCCGTGGCATTGAGACAGGAGGGAGGGAGCAACCTGGGGACCGTTGCAGCAAAGGAGTTTGGGTGCTGCATGGCGAGATGGGGCAACGTGTGTGCAGCCCACGTGCTGTCTGCCTTCAAGAGTCGTGCATCTTAGATCTGTTGTGGGTGAGTCGGATAGGCTTTGGAACCGGCGGGGACGGCGATTCACGAGAACAAAGATGCTGGAGAACTTAATGGCAGTTGGACCTAAGGCTTGGACCAGGCTGCGTGGGTTAGGGAGGCAGCATCCTCTGTAGAGTTTCTAATTCCCCAGAGGCGGCTGTTACTCTCCCCAGACTTCTCCGGAAGGAAATGATGACTGTTATTGTGCTGATTTCTTCTGTTACTTTTGCCTTTGTCCCCTGGAAGGCAAATGGCCCCACCAGACCTACCACTTCCTGAGAAAAATCACAGGAGGCTGGGCGCCTTGTTGTCAACAGCTGGGTGCTCGGTCCAGGCAAATCACCTGGGTGAAATGTTCTATAGGCTGTCAAGGAGCATTTGAAATGGCTGAAATGAATGTTAGCAGCTGCCCTGAATGATTAAGACGTCAGGAAAGGGCAACAGGGACCTCTGAGGGGATGTGTGCCTGGGGAAGGGGAGAGGAGGTGCTAGCTGGTAGCCAGCTCCGGTCTGGAGGCTCTGCCTGGTGACGGAGCTGGAGCGGTCCTGGGGCCATATGAGTTTTGGGTCTGTTTTCACGTTAGCCGGCAGTCCCACTTCCCTCCTGGTCCCCCATGTGCTGCTCCCGGAACCAGTGTGCAGCTCCAGCCACCTGGCAGTTCCACTGTCCTGTCGGGCCCCCGAGGTTGGTCAGGCAGTATCTAAATATGTCTGGGGCTCTTTTAAAAAGGCCATTGAAGTGCAGTTAGGCTTCACAACCTCAACGCCAGCACCAGCGAGAGCCGATCCTGCCTTTTTCCAGGCAGAGGGGGTTCCTAGGTAAAATTGTAAAACAATTCTCTTTCCTTTTGTTTTCACCTTCTAGAAGGAAGCCCTTTCACTGCCTTCTCTACCACCCTTCCTCCTCTCATTATACTCTTGGTTTCTCCATGCAAAGCTAGAGAAAGTCACTTATGCTAATAACCTGCATAATAAATTTAGAGCTTAGTTATCTTTCCAGAGGTATTCGTATTTTCAGAGCTTAAGGCAAAGGATGAAATGTTAAGTGATTGCAAACAGGGTTGGAGAGGTTGGGGTACATGAAGTTGCTCCCAAAATCGCACAGTTTAGGAAGCACCTGGTAGGTCAGCTGTGGGTCAGTCTGTGGGGTTGGCCTCCAGTAAACTTGACAGCCAGGTAGTATAAGGACTTAAAAGCAGAATAGGATATTATGTGCCTTCCTAACATGCACATATGTGACATGTTACATAACAGCATGAAGCACCGTGTGCCCAAGTGAGGAACCTACAAATAATTATGGCTGGGGGAGTTCTGTGAAGTTGGTTCAGGGAAGACAAGTCTTCACAGATTAGAAATGGAGCTTCAAGGATGGACATGTGACCTCAATAGGTAGAGCAGAATTGATGGGAGCCCTCAAGAAGGAGATAGGCGAGGGTAGAGATGTCAGGGTTCCGGTATGTGGTTTCCATGCAAGACAGCAAGGAGATTCGCATCTCAGGGGTGGAGGGTCTGCACTGTGCTGCTTTGCAGTGTCAAACAGACCCCTGCCTGAAGATCGAGGAGATTGTCTTTTACCTGGAGGACTGTAGGGAGCCCTGGAAGAATCTTTGAGTAGGGGAGTAACTGAATAGTGTCTTGTAGGAAAATGTGTCTCCTGGCAATATTTATGATGTGTTGGAAGGAAAAGATTAGAGAACAGTCTAGAAAGGGAACCATTGTGGCAGTGTCGGCATGAACTTGCTCCGTCACTCAGCCAAACCTCTTATCACCCTCCAAGTGTTTCTCTTAGGTCCGGGAAGACATGAGGATGAAGGAAACCCATTGCCTACTCCACTTTGCCTACAGTCTCTGGTAGGGACACACGCCACGCTGGTAGCGCTGGGAGTAAAAAGGAAGGCACAGATTTTGAGAAAGATTTTAAAGGAAAACATAACAGGGTAGGTGGCTGATTAAGAGTGGGGCTGAAGGGGAGACTGGAGTGAAAACCCAGGTCTGCGTGTGAGTAGCAGGACTGGGGAAAGGTGTAGCGGGGACAGAAGTTGAGATGTGGGGAGAGAGAATTGGGTTTTGGTGGGAAGGTTTTAAAGAATTCACTTCTGGACATAATAAAATGTCTTGATCCATCAAAAGTAGAGATGCTGAGGAGGCAAAGAAGGAACAGAAGTAGAATCTCAGTGAGAAGGCAGGGTGAGGCTGTAGATTTGAAACTCGTGCCCTGCTTGTTCCTTAGAGGCAGTCGAAGCTTTGTGGAAGGACAGCCAAGTTCAGCAGCAAAGGATGGAAGAGTAATGAGGGTATGTGAGGGTAGGGGATGGAAGAAGACAAAGAAGCCAGCAAAGGAGAATCTAGGACTTGAGAGTGTCAGGGATTGGGGGTGGAGAGCTGACAGGGGACAGTGTCACGGAAGGCAAGGGAAGAGAGTTTCCAGTGAAAACTTATGGAGTGGATTAGGAGAGGAGGCACAACAGTGAGTCAGATAGTACAATGTAGGACCTATGATTTCAGTTCTGAAAATGCTGCCTTTTTATTAGAAGAAGAGAGATAAGGATTGATGAACTGTTAAGAGAGGGGTTCTGAATCAGGCAGGTATTGACGTCAATGCTGCCTCGTTCTGCATCACCTTGGGTGGTTAACCACTCTAAACCTCAGTGTACTCGTTATGAAAAGGGGGTGTGACAGTAACATCTAGCACATGGAGTTGTTGTGAGTAGTGCAGGAATGAAACGAGATAAGGCATGCAAAACTGTTAGCTGAGTGCCTGCCACTTAGTAAGTGCTCTTGAAAAATTTTAGCTCTTACCATGAACAGTAATAAGTTTTATGACTTCATAAGTTTTATTATTACATTCTCAAATGTCAGACTGCAGGAAGCCATGGAGCAGTTTCTGGAGAAATCTTTTCAAACTGAGAACCCTCTCTTCCCTAATAACTTAAGCTGGTTTGGGAGCAGGAAGATGAGCTAAATTATTTCTAGGGAATACTTTGTGCCAGAAATTGTGATGATCCTCTTAGGATCGTAATTGTTCTTATTGCATTTTCTTATAGTCGAGAAGACTACTTTCAAAATGTTTACTACCTTTTCCAGTTAGATTTAATTTGGCTTCTACAGAGTTTGGAGATTTACCGTAGATGCTAAGGGGGAAACACAAGAGAAAACCCACAAACTATGTCCCTGGGAGGTTTACAGTCTGCATTTGGGGAGAGAGTGTGCACAAGTGAAAAGGAGTGAGAACATCTGAAAGCAGCATGGGCAAGAGGGTGACGTGTCAGTCCATGACAAGGCTGTCGTGCTGGAAGGGTTCAGAGCCCAAGATTGATCTGGATCAGGTGGAGTCAATTAGGGAAAATGTCCTTGGGCTGATTGCTTTGGCTTGGTCGACTTCTAGGATTTAAGTGACTGGTTGTGGGTGGAACTGGGTCCCTGTTGCTCTGGTTTCTGATTCAAAGTGTCATCCCCTGAGCTTCCCTCGTTATTATGGGTGCGGGGGCTGGCCTCCAGGTCACTCCAGGTGTGTTCAAGGCTTCCATCATCTGTGCTGTCCAGCCTCGATTTCCAATCATTTGCCTCAGGCCCTCAAGACTGTCATCAAACCCATGCTGTATTCCCTCCACCCCTTTGTGCCCAAACACAAACTGCCCTAGACTTGGAATGTTCTTTCCCTGTGGAAGTCTGGCCTGCCCTTCAAGGCCCCCCTCTTCCATGGAGCCGTGTCTGATCTCTCAAGCTAGACGGGATCTCACAGGACTCTGTGGTTTCTCATTCAACCTCATTTTGTCTTGGGTGGTGATTAGCTGCAGACATGTCTGTCTCCCATATTTGATTTCGAGCTACTCGGAGGGGAAAGGATCTTCAGTTTTCACTGTGGCTTCTGGTGTCTGGTCCACGGTGGGTGTGTAGTACACGCTGGTTAGATTGAATCGCCTGGATCCTTCTTTCCAGAGAACTCTTTAGGCTGCAGCCACTCTCCTGCTGAACTTGTTCAGAGTCACTCACGCATGCAGAAGCAAAATAAAGGGAGGCCCCTGCTCACCAGACCCACTTCCTGCTCTGCCCCGGAGTGAGCCTGCCAGCCACAGTGGCAGCTTGGTCCCCAGAGCTGCCCAGTCACTTGGCATAGTAGCAAGAAGGAGCAGCTTACCTTCTTAGATGCATGTGATTTCAGTGATTTTCTTGGAAAGGCATGTCCTGTGCTACTCAGAGGATGCAGGGAGCGTCAGCAGTCCCATCTGGGTTCAGCCACTCTGAAGAGCAGGACTTCTCTGTCCCATGTGCCAATAACCATCCTATCATTGTGACCTAGTGACTCGCCAGGAAGTAAGAATGGCCAAGTCAGTTGAAAGAAAAAATAGGCCCAACCAGCTTCGTTACCTGGTTAAGCAAACCTACCCTGTGGCTACACCCTGGCCCATCTCTGCGGCTCTTTCTTACTGCGCCGTGTTTGGCATGTGCCAGCATCTCTCCATTTCCAGGGGATGGGGAGAAAGCCATTGCGGAAGCCCCGTAAGGCTGCGGCACCCTGTTAATGCCAGCTGCCACCGGTATGTCTGCGCACTTGCACACGGTTTGGGGGAGCGTTGGGGGAGCATTGGGCGGCTGTGGCCGGGGCCAGCTCTGAGCTTATCTGTTTTCTCCTGCAGTACATCTTCGCAGACGCTTACGCCCAGTACCTCTGGATCACGTTTGACTTCTGTGACACTATCCAAGGCTTTTCCATCCCATTCCGGGCAGCTGATCTCCTTCTGCATAGCAAAGCCTCCAACCTTCTCCTGGGCTTCGACCGGTCCCACCCCAACAAGCAGGTAAGAGAGCTTCCGGAACACAGTCGTGTGGGGCTGCTCTAATTTTCTACCCTGCCTGTGTGGATCGTGTGTCCTCTGAGTGACCTCGCCTGCTGCCCCTCCCTCCTCCTCTCTCGGGCTCAGTCTCTATAGGTACTATTTCACTTAGCACGGCTCGCTCGGGAAAAGTGTATCCCCCTGGCCTTCTCGGTCAGCAGCCCAGCCAGGGATCAACACCCAGCGCTTGGCAGGCCCTGTTAGGTAAACACCAGGCCCTTCTCTGTGCACATGCACCTTTGTTAGCCCTTAGGGTAAACTGTGGCTCTGGCATTTAATCAGAGAAAAACCAGGTAGAAAAGTCTGGAGTCTGAGCTCTTCTGGGACCTCTTGTTGAATTTCTCCTCCACCCTCCCCATCTGGCTTTCACCCCCCATTTATTTGATGTTACCATTAATTTTGACATTCTTCCTTTAAGAGTGTGTGTGTGTGTGTGTGTGTGTGTGTGTGTGTGTGCGTGCGTGATATAAATGTACTTTCTTCCTTGAACCCAGGATTGAAGGAAAACTGAGAGACGAGGGGAGGGCCTGAGTAGGATTTATATCTCAGGATCGAAATGTGCCAAATCAAGAATATTGGCCTGGCGGCAACCTAGGAAACCCGTAGATCCTGTATGATTGGATTTATGATGAGTCTTAAATGCTTTTGCTCAGAGGAACCTTGGAACATTTCTTTTTCTTTGCAGATTGTTTAACCAAAACACGGATCTGTTTACCTCTGCTCACCTCAGGGAGTAACCTAAGCCTGGGCTGGGTCAGTTTGCCGGTGGAGGGGGATTGTTGGTATTTTTATTCTCATGCTTCTTCATTCATGATTGCTAGGGCCAGGGGGACCTCAGGTAACATCTGTGGCAGTTGAGAGGCTTTGCCAAAATTCAGCAAGTTAATTACTCATGGCCACATCTCCTATTCAGTTGATTCCCTTTGATGCTTTGTACTTTTGTACTTAGTGTCCTCTCCATTTATCTGTCATTACCAAGGCCCATTACAATTTTTTCTCTTTTTTTTTTGGTGGTAAAATACACATAACATACAATTTACTACCTTTACCATCTGTAAGTGTACAATTCAGTGGTATTAAGTACATATTGTTGGCTGGGAGCAGTGGCTTATGCCTGTAATCTTAGCACTCTGGGAGGCTCGGGTGGGAGGATCGCTTGAGCTCAGGAGTTCGAGACCAGCCTGAGTAAGAGCGAGACCGCATCTGTACAAAAACTAGAAAAATTAGCTGGGCGTGGTGGCACGCGCCTGTAGTCCCAGCTGCTTGGGGGGGGCTGAGGCAGGATGTTTGCTTGAGCCCAGGAGTTTGAGGTTTCAGTGAGCTATGATGACACCACTGCACTCTGCCCAGGGCGACAGAGCGAGACTCTATCTCAAAAAAAAAAAAAAAAAAAATACATATTGTGCAACTATCACCGCCATCCATCTCTAGAACTCTTCATTTTGCAAAACTGAAATTCTATACCCATTAAACAATAACTCCCTGCCTTTAGCTCCTGGAAACCACCATTCTACTCTCTGTCTCTGTGATTTTGCCTACTGCAGGTACCTCATGTAAGTGGAATCATATAGTATTTGTCTTTCTGTATTTGATTTATTTCACTTAGCATAACGTCCTCAAGGTTCATCTGTGTTGTAGCCTGTGCCAGAATTTCCCACCTTTTCAAGGCTGAACAATACTCCACTGTATGTATATACCACATCTTGCTTATCCATTCATTTGTTGGTGAACACTCGGGTTGCTTCCTCAGTGTAGCTATTGCAAATAATGCTGCTATCCATCACAGGTTTTTAAGGACACTGTTTCTCAGTCGAGAAGTGCAGAGTATAATCCTTTTAGGGACTGGTCAGAAAGTAAAATATAATTTCTGATAATGCATACATAGAAGGCAAATCACACTCATTTGTCCTTTTAATTGCTATTTCTCAGTAGCCTTAGTGACTGTGGAGAAGAATGCATAGGTACAAGGTTGTCTCTCCTTTCCTGCCCTCGTCTGCTTTTGGAGTAACTGAATTGGCTTTAGTGACCTTGGTGCCTGTCTTTACAGAGAGTGTGTCATGGAAGGTGGGATTTCAGTGGGTGTTTGGTGATACCATTCAGGTTGTACGCGCCTCTTGCATCATGACAGCTTTTTGTTGTTTTGGTCTTTGCAGCTATGGAAGTCAGATGATTTTGGTCAGACCTGGATCATGATTCAGGAACATGTGAAATCCTTTTCTTGGTAAGTTGTGTCATCTAAGAAATCCTGTAACCTCCTTTCTTGTAACCTCCTGTCTCCAATTCTAGCTTCTTCATGGTGGACAAGCCTTCTGCCCTTACCTGAAATGTGAAACATTTGGTTCAGGACATCAATTTCCCAGACCTGAGAATCAGAGCTGCAAGTATAACAAACTCACTGGAGGAGGAGGAGGGGGGATGGGAAAGTAAGGTTTATTTGTCAGAGGAATGGTAGAGCTTTTGCGTTTTTCAGTCCATCAGGAAACCCAGGGGAATCTTGAAGCTCTTGCATCTTAGCAGAGTTTCTAAATGTCTTCATTCTTAGAGCATCGTATTAGAAGTGGGGACTTTTCTTTATATAAAATTCACGCATTTGTTCATAACCTATTTTTTTCATGTCTGCTTAAAAGAAGACCTGATAGATGCTTTTGGGCATAAGAAGTTGAGCAATTTATGGATATAGTTATTAAGGAAATTACAGTTTAGGAGGTAAGAAAAACACTTCAGGTACATAACACACATTATGAAAGAGTCACAGAAATAACAGATGTAGCGTGAGAAGCCAGAGGAGGGACCTATTCCGTCTAGGTGGGAGGATCATAGATAGTTTTGTGAAGGAGGTTGCTTTTGATCCAGGATGCACACAACAGGTAGGATGTCGCCGAGTGGAGGTGTGGAGGACACGAATTCCACGTGAGGAACAGAGTGGCCAAAGGCCCAGAGATGGGCTGTTGTGGTGCTTGGGTGAACACTGACTCATTTTTGGCCAGTGCTTTGGGCGAAGTTTGGAAAGGGAAGTTGGGATCGGGATCTGCAGTGCTTGACAAAGGAATTTGGACTAATTTCCAAAAGCAGTGGGGAACCATTGCAGGTGTTTGAGAAGAGGGGTGCATTAAACACTCTACTCAAGAAATATGGTTTCTAGTCATAGTTGCTTTTGATCTTTTACTGTTACAGTGATATAGTATATGATCTTGAATATATGAATTTGCACATATGCAGGCAAATGTATTGGACAGATTTCCAGGAGCGAGTTTGCTGGGCCAGTGGGTTAATCTAACTGCTTATCAACCCATTGGCATGGATGAGTGATATCGCAAGCTTGATACCTCCCAGATCAGCCCTACCCATAATCTTCCCCATTTCAGTGTCTAGTCACTTGGGCCAAAAACTTTGGAGTCATCATTGATTCCACATTTGTTTCATGCTTCACAATCAATCTATCAGAAAATTTTGCTGGCTCCTGATTCATCTAGAATCTTCTACTCAGGTACTACTTTATTCCAAGCCATCACTGTCATTGCTCATTAGTCTCCCAACTGGTCTTTCTGCTTTCACTCTGTTTTTTCTGTAATTAGTCTCAGTGGGTGGCCAGATTGATCCCATTAAAACAAGTTAGATCATGTTGTTCCTCTGCTGTGAACCCTTTCATGTTTCATCATTCCTCTTAGATTAAATGTCAGGTACATTCTTAACCACAGGGCCTTTGCACTTGCTATTTTCTTTGCGTAGAGTGCTCTTACCCAAGATGTATTAATACTTACTGCTTACTCCCTACCGCCTCATTCAAGTCTTTGCTCATATAACACCTTCTAAATGAGGCCTACCCTAAGGATCCTATTAAAAATTATAGCTACTTCCCTATTATTCCCAATCTGCTGTATTCTGCCCCATTGTTTTCCACATAGCACTTTGTCACATTCTGATATGCTATTGTTATGCTTATTATTTGTGTTTCTCTCTTCAATAGAATGAAAGCTCTCCAAGGGCAGGGACTTTTGTTAGTTTTGTGCCCTGTTATATCCACGGTGAATGCATCCTTGAAATTTTAATTTTGATAGAGATTGCTAAATTTTGCATAGAAAGTGTCAAATTTGCACTCATCTCAACACTATAGAATAGTGTCTTTCTCCACATTCAGTATGTAAGGTCAGAAAATTGTCTCAGTGAAGTTTTAATTTGCATATTTCTTAACCGTGAATGAGTCAGAACATCTTTTAATCTGCTTACGGGTCACTTTTATTTATTTGGTTTTTTTTTTTTTTTTTTTTGGTGACATGCCTATTCATGCACTTTGCACTTTTTCTATTTGTTTTTTTAAATTATTGATTTCAAGGAACTGTCTACATTTGAGATTAACTCTTTGTGATATGAGATAGTTTGTGTGTGTGTGCATTTATGTTTATATTTTCCAGTTTGTCAATTGTCTTTTGACTTTTACATGTAGTTTTAGTCCTCATTAAATGTAGTGGCCCCGTAATATGTAGATACTGTCTGTGCTTCTTTTAGCTGTCTGTGGGAAGTGGAATGTCTCTGGGTTGGTACTGCTGCTTTAGTAATTGAGGATGGTAAAGATGGAGAGGATACAGGGAGGGGCCCTACTGCTGACCATCTTCAGACTCCACTGGTCTTTCTTTCCATAAAGGGAGCCTTTTCTGACCTTTTTGTTGTTTTCCTTGGGTGGAGGTTGTGGGGTATTAGTGAAATTAGAACCATGGTCTTATCGAAGGACAATCTCTGCTTAAGGAATATTGTTATAACTTTCTTTTGCTTTATTTGAGTTTTAAAGGTACAAATTGTTCTTTTATCTGTTTAGGAAACGATAAATGAAGAGGGCAAAGCGAGCAGGAACTTATAGGGATAAGTTAAGGGAACTTAAAGTTTAGAAATTTGAGTATTGTACCTTCTGCCTCTGTGCAGATTTGCAGATAATTAGGGAAAGGACTGGTCTATATTTTAAGACAGTTACATGTTTGTTGTCAGGGGATTTTAGACTATTTGGGGGATTTTTTTCCCTTAAGTTTCCTTATAATAAGTGAAAATGTAATCTCGTCTCTCAGAGAATGACATACATTTGTTTAACAATGCTTGGCAACCTGGGAGAAGCAGGAGTGAGGAAAGCTAATAATTTACTTGGTCCAAAGACGGGGATTGGCAAGACAGAATAGTACAAGACCTGTGGGGGCAGGACTCAGGATGCCCCATGGAGCATCACTGAAGGGTTGCAGGTGAGGCCAGATGAGGCCTGATGACCGTGCTCAGAGATAGAGCGAAGATTGAAATTTCTGAATGGGGGCAAAGAGAACAGAAGTAGGTGTCAGTGAGTGTAAGAAATTGGAAGGCTAAGTGATTGCAAAGTATGAGAACTAGTAGGTGGAGCAGCTTGCAGAAATGGGAGGTCCAAATATGGATTACGAAGAGAATTGGGATGAAAGGCACAGTTCTTTCTGTCTCTAGATGTTGGCTGCTGCTTTTGGCTGGGAAGGAATAATAGAGGTGAGCTTGGTCTCAAAATATCTCAATAAGGTTCCTTCCTCTTCGCCTTTTTAAAAATACCAGGCAGCCTCATTTTAATTTGCATATCCTCTGGGCTAGAGGAAGTACTTTAATCAGTACTTCTAATTGTGGCAAGGAAGAGAACATGCCGCCACCCACCCACACACGCACCCCAAGTATCTCACAATGAAGAATGCTCTTCTCCCACATCAGGACCAGGCCGCTGGTGTTCTCCAGTGCAAGACTCCACAGTGCAGCGCAAAAGTCAAGTCTTCCCCCATCGTAGGCGCTTTTGTTTTTCTGTTTCTTATCTTCCTGCCTCCTTCCTCCCTTCTTTGCCTTTTTTTGAGAACGTGGTCTTTGACAGTACGTCTCCGAAGGAATTTCATGCTATTGCCTTCATTATTCTGAGAGCCGTCCCGCGTATGGAACTGTATACTGGCAGTTACATAACTAAGGCCTTCTGCCTTTTTTTGAGTCGTCACTTGGCACCCTCACTGTGATATTATCTTCCTAACTGTCCCAGTTCTTAATATTTTTTCCATTTGCTGAATGATCCACCCGGCCTTGGTGGTTCCTGAGAATGTTAGGAAACTTGGGGCGTGTAAGTCATCCTCCCAGCTGCTGTGTGGGGCTTTTTGGGGGAAACACTAGTTCAGAGATTCTTCTCTGAGATCGTTTGACCTAAGTCCTTCTACATTTTTTAGTTTGGATTAGCTTCTGTAATTATGGCCCACAGACCTAAATGCAGCAAGTGTTACTTCAGGTGGAGACCCTGAGGGATAAAAAGACGTGGCCTTTCAAGGCGTCTGTACTCTGTCTGGGGAGCTCACCGAATACACGATGGTGAGCAGGGTAATACGGTGTACCAGAGGCATTACTGTGTAAAGTAATGAGACTGATTCCAAAATCACCCAACCGAAGCAGTTTTATGTCTTTGTTTGGAGGTCAAACTCATATAGAAGGCTTGGAAAAGAGTGCTGCACAGACATGGTGCTAGTGGTGGGAGAAGGGAGGACAGCACTGGGACTGGGAGATCTCCTGGAAGATGAGGACTTGAACTTGACCTCAGAGGAGAGTAGGATTCAGATGGAGGGATCCGAGCGTGTGCAGAGGGCATCACTGCACCACGGTGTTCGCGAAAGTGCAGAGGGAGGAATGCGCCCTCCTTTCTGAAGGTGATCAGTATGTGCAAGAAAAAAATTTGTGGAAGAGCCTCATGGGAGATGAAATGCAGGAGGACTCCAGATTGTGTGGATCAGTGACATGGGCAGGGGACCCACAGAGACGAGGCAGGATCCCTTCCTTGGAAAGATCAGGCTCGGAAGCTCCTAAAGTGGTTTCCTCCAGTGATGCTCTTCTGAGGATATAGCACTTTGGGAGAACTCTCCTTCGTTCGTCTGAGGTTCATAACTTGAGGCTAGAACCTTGCTGACAGCCTCAAGCAGTCCGTTGCTTGTTGATTCTGAAACACGCCACCTTGTTCTTTTTCTACTTTTTGCTCTTTTCAAGCAGGGCCAGAGGTTGCCTGGAGCTACACCCAGGGTGCTGTGAAAACAGCATAAAGCACTTTATAAATGGCAATTCCTTTCCCTCTATACTGAGCCGAGGCGCTACCAAAGGGATATGTTTGAGGCACACAGAGTATCATTTGTAGGTCTTACCTTGGTGGCCCTAAATTCTAGTTGATCGTCCACATGGCAAAACCTCCATGCCTCTGGTAATTAAATGTGGAAATGATGACAACGATTTTTTTTTCTTCCAGGGGAATTGATCCCTATGACAAGCCGAATACCATCTACATTGAACGTCACGAACCCTCTGGCTACTCCACCATTTTCCGAAGCACAGACTTCTTCCAGTCCCGGGAAAACCAGGAAGTGATCCTCGAGGAAGTGAGAGACTTTCAGCTTCGAGACAAGTACATGTTTGCTACAAAGGTGGTGGTAAGTTGAACGTGCTGAAGAGTAGACTTTTGAGTTTCCCTTATGCAGTTTGTCATTCTGTGATCAAACAGGTGAGTTTGCATAAGCAGAGATTGGGTCGACGTGCTTGGGATAGCTCGATGAAGGATTCCGGGCCCTGGTGAACATTCCTCAAGGGCTTGGAAGGTGCTGGGAGGTTGGGGAAGTGGAGAAGCTTAGGACAAATACTCCAAGTGTCTCTGGACTCTAGGAAGTTGGTTGTTTCCTGGTAGCCAAGCATCCTTGACAAAGACATATTTCTTTAAAGTCCCAGTGAAAAGAACACAGAAAGGATGGGTGGGGCTCAGTGGCTTTTTTCTTTTAATCCCACTGCCTGATTTCCTTTAAACTTAGGCCGATTTCTTTGAGATTTTTTGACACATGTTAATTTACATGGCTAATAGGATGTGTAGTCATTGGCTAGTGGGAGTTAATGCTCTAAGAAAAGCAGTAATTAAGCTTCCAGCTGTCAGTAAGTAGCTTAACTCTGAGCCTTTGGGAAAATCTTCCCCTTGATTTGATGTGTTGGAGCCAGATGCTGAAATGGAGGGCTTGCTCATTTAAAACCAGAGTTGGTTATTTAACAGGACTTGCTTCGCAACATTATCGAGTTCACTCTTTATGACCCTGGTGTAAAGGAAAAACCCAGCCCCGGCCAAGGGCAGGAGGGGCTGCTATTCCAGGGGGGCTACCAGCTTGCTTTCCTAATGGCGTCCTTCCCTCGTTGACTCAGGGTCTGTTGGGGCCTCTGCCAACTGGGAGGTTGCTCTGCGCGTGTCACTGTTAACCTTAGGGACTGAAATCAGATGTGATGTTTTCCTCCAGGTTCCCATTTGTACAATGAGAAGAGTGATGTAAATGGCTGACAGAAAGAGGTGTTCCCTGTTATATACCTTGTAAAATATTTTTAAAAACCATTAACCTATGGCTGTTTTTCTTCTCTCACGCTGTTGGCATTGACCCGTAGACATTGGATCACTGTCTTCCTGCCTTGCCTGTTGTCTCTTTCTCTCTTAGACACATACACACACACATAGCAGCCCAAGAACACAGCATCCTTGAATGGCCTTGGCAGGGATGGGGTGATGGGAACACACAGGTGAGAAATCAGGCCAAGTATTGGTGACGTGTGACATCAAGTTGGGAAATCCTGAGTTCCAGTACGGTCCAAAACCTTGTCTCCGGTTCTTCAGTGGTCACAGGCCTTTTCTGTCTTAGTTCCCTGGGCCTGGAGTTAGTGTATGGTTTTAATTTTGAACTCTTAAGACACTGATCTTAAGTGACTGATCCTCTAGTTTGTCTTCCTTTTTGCCTGAACTGGGGCTGAGATGGAAGTTGTTGGGCTTTTCTCTTAACTCTGTTATTCCTAGATCTCACACCCAAGAGTTTAAGTTGTATCCGGGTTGGAGATTTCTGTGCCCTCCATTCCGATTAACAGCTATGTCTGTTCCGCAGACATAGCTGATTTACAGAATGCCTGTGGTGAGTTTCTAATTATTCCTGGCCAGTGGTAAGATTAGGGGTCACGTCTGTTTGGATCATCCCTGATATAGTACCCGGGGTCTTGCGCAATGTTTGGTACATAACTATGTGCGACAGAGTTGAGTGAATGCCATCTTTGCCCACCTAATTTTAAAAGCATAGGTTAGTAGTAGTAGATTTTTAAAAATTGTGTGTGTTGGGGGGTTATTAAATTATTGCTACTTTTATAGTTAACTCTTAACTTTTTGGGTGGCTTCTTCATTTGTATGCTATTGGTGGCAAAATTGTAGTTACGTGTTGGCGTCTCCCTCCTGCACATGGACAGGCCACCAGATTCCAAGGTCAGTGGTGTTAGATAGAGGCTCTAGATAAGGCGAGTTTTCCTAAATTGTGGTTTTGGAGCCACGTGCATTAACATCATGCAGGGGAAGTTGTTACAAATGCAGATTGCAGGGCTCACATGCACTTTTCCCCTGAGCATCCCAAGGGTGCCTAAGAATCACCAGAGTTTGAGAAACTACCCTGAAGCGTTCTGTAGGTAGAAGCGTCAAATAATAGTCATTATTGTCAAGGAAACGTTTCTCAAGGTATGGATTGATGAGCAAAGAAACACAACTGGCAGTGGATGATAAAATGGGCGTTTTCCTCCTTTTTCTTATTTTTTATTTTTTTTAGAGACAGGGTTTTGCTTTGTCACCCCAGGCCGGTATTCAGGGGCATGGTCATAGCTCAATGCACCTTCGAACTCCTGGGCTCAAGCAGTCCTTCTGCCTCAGCCTCCTGAGTAGTTGGGAATACAGGTGTGTGCCGCCACACTCGGCCAATTTTTTATCTTTTCTTGGAGAGATGGGTTCTTGCTATGTTGTGCAGGCTGGTCTTGAGCTCCTGGCCTGAAGCAATCCTCCCACCTCGGCCTTGCAAAGTGCTGGGATTGCAGGCCTGAGCCATGGCGCCTGCCTGTTTTCCTCCTTTTTATTACATTAGATTACTAAACCACAAGGATAAACAAAGTCGGCCTTGGTCAGATAACCCTCCCAGTAGGAGTGTTGAAGCCTCCAAGTATAACTTTTTATCTGGAGTCCGCCTAGCTCTAAGGTTGCCAGGATTTGGGGAACTGGCTTTAATGTTAAATGGATTCAAATCAAATTTGGCAAATCAAGGACCTAATTTTAAAGCCACAGAAAGTTGATTTTGGGTGATTAACTCTTCTGCTTCCTTCCAGCATCATGAATGATTATAATCCTTTGCAAGTTGCTTTTTCAGCCACCTGGGTTCTGGTCTGGAGCTGGCGCCCAGGTCTTCAGAACTTCTGGTACCCTGTTGGCTGGCTCTGGCTTCATGTGTGCTTTTTTCTTATCCTAAGTTTATTTTCATTCCTTGCTTTTTGACGTGAAGGTCACTTATTTGTCTTAATAGTCTACATCAAAATGATAGGGCCATTAAAGAAACAATTTATGTTTCTTTAATGAGGTACCGCTGTGATTTGTTAATTTGGTAATATACAACTGTCAGGTTCTTTCTAGTAGATAGCAGTTGCTAAAGCATTTGGGGTGGATGAGGGTTAGGTACTCCCCGACAGCCTAACTACCAGATTATCATGCAAGCCGGGCTCACACATCTTGCACTAATGTGTATCAGTAAGCAAGGATGTGATCGGTGGGCTTGATGAAAGTCTCCTCTGTGTGCTTATAGGTGAGGCAGCCACCCGCACCTTGCACGTTGCAGACACTATGTTCTAGAGCAGACACTGGCGGACTATGGCCCGCCACCTGTTTTTGTAAATGAAGTTTTATTGGAACACAGCCGTACTCATTTGCTTATGTGACGTCTAGGGCTGCTTTCATGCCCCAGTGGCAGAATTGGATAGCGACGTAGAGGCAATATGGCCCACAAAGCCCGAAATATCTACCATCTGGATCTTTACAAATAAAGTTTGCTGACCCCTGTTGTCTGTTACCCTTACCGTTGGCATTAGGCAACCAGAACTGCAAGGTCTTGACAAGTCTCAGGTGTTATGTTGAAAAGTACAGGTTACAGGCATCTAAATTGTCATGTCTGTTAATGTGATGGTATCTTTAGAATATTGTGGCCAATTCGGATACTTTGAATGCCACTGATCTCCCCAGTGAGAGCCCCTGTGTATTTTCATGATTCTGACCAAACACTGATTTCACTATTGAAAACCAATTTCTAACCTTCATTATGCTAATTTAAAGTCTCTAATGTTGATCAGAGATAACAGAAAAGCTTAGTAATTGCTTCAGGGTATCGTGGGCTTCCAGATGAGCAGTTAGCTAATCAAAACTGGGTTGTGAATTATAGGATGATTGACCCAAACCAAACTACTTACAAACTATTTTAATTTTGTTACCTAAATGTATACAAATATAAAGCTAGGTCTAAGCAAATATAAGCTAAGTATAAGCTTATAATTCTCATATACAATGGTGACACTTAAACATTTACAGATTAAAAAACTATAATTCCAATAAATTGAAAATTACTGTTCATTTTTTATAACACCTGTGTTGAGATACAATTTACATGCCATAAAATTCACCCTTTTTAAGTGTACAGTTCAGTGGTATTTAGTATATTCATAAGGTTGTGCAACGATCATCATAATCTAATTCCAAACATTCTTATCACCCCCAAAAGAAACCCCATACCTGTTAGCATTACTTCCCTTCTCTTCCCAGCCACTGGTATCCACTAATCTACTTTCTGTCTTTATGGATTTGCCTATCCTTGGATATTTTATATAAAGGGAATCATACAAAATGTGACCTTCGTGACTGGTTTCTTTCATAGCATCATGTTTTCAAGTTTCATCTTTGTTGTAGCATTTCTCATTACTTTAATCAGTTTTATTGGCTGAGTAGTATTCTGTTGTAGTGGATATAACATTTTATTTATCCATCCAATAGTTGGTGGCCATTTGAGTTGTTTCAGTTTTTTGACTATTATGAATAGTGCTGCTAGGAACATTTGTATACAAGTTTGTGGGCATATGTTTTTAGTTCTATTGGATATATACCTGGGAGTGTAATTCCTGGGTCATATGGTAATTCTATATTTAACTTTTTGAGAAACTGCCAAGTTGTTGTGCAAAGGGACTACACCATCTTATATTCCCGCCAGCAATGTATTAGGGTTGCAGTTTTTCCACATCCTTGTCGACATTTGTTATTGTCTGTCTTTTTGATTATAGCCATCCTTGTTAAGTGTGCAGTGGTATCTCATTGTGGTTTTGATTTGCATTTCCTGATGGCTAAGGATGTTGAGCATATTTTCATGTGCCTGTTGGCCGTTTGTGTATCTTTCTTGGACAAATGTCTATGCAAATCCCTGTCCATTTTAAATCGGGTTATCTCTTTATTGTTGAATTGTAATAGTTTTTATTCTATATATATTCTATATACAAGATATATAATTTGCAAATATTTTCTACCATACTGTGGGTTGCCTTTTTACTTCCTTGATGGTATCTTTTTCAGCAC